GGCGGGGGGGGGGGGGGGGGGGGGGGGGGGGTTGAAAAAAAAAATAAGCATGACAACCACTCGAACTTCCCTGAGGCGTGGGAAGCGCAAAATAACTAAAAGGACTCTCTCTCTCTCTCATCTCAAATAGATCTTCTCTCTCTCTCTCTCTCACATAATCCGATCTCTCGTATCACGCATCGCGTTCTCGATATCACAACGGCACGACCGATCTCAACGCATGGGGATCACCGGAAGATGTCCTTGAAGTGGACCAGCAAGGCCTCGACGACCAGGTTCTGCTGCATCAGGTTCAGCGCCATGTTCAGGTTGTCGCCCGACTCGGGCCACATCAGCGTCGGCCCGAACACGATCGCCAGGTTCGACAGCCCCATCCGGTTCTTCTCGCAGAACTCCGTCACCCTGCGAGACGGCGGAAACAGGACTTCAAGGACCATCGCGACGCAACCGCAAAAACCTCCTAAACCACTCCCTCCTCCAATTATTTCTGCCCTTTTCCTCCACTGCCTTGAGCGACATTCCTTTGGAGTTCCAACGATGCATCGCAAGACCAACCAAACTCGATCAACGAGCCCAGCCTTGTGTCTAAACGAGCTCCCATTTTCAAAGCGCAACAACCCGACGCCCCTTCCTACCTTTCCTAAAGGCAAAATAGATCTCTACTCCCCCCCCCTTAGTTTATCATGTTGCCCTCAGATTTTTATTGGGTGGCGTGAGAAGAGGTTTTTCGGGATTCGAGGGTTACCAGAGTAATCCATGACAAAATCCTTCGAGGCCGAGCAGGATTATCGATAATATATCCTCGTGCATTCCTTTGTTTTTTTTTTGTGGCATTCCCACGAATACCACAATCCGTTCCTTGTTCTCTTGGTTCCTTGTTTTCGCGAGGGGTGATGAGTCTTTTTGTCAGATGATCTTTCGTTCCCCAATTGTTTTACCTTCGTGGTTGAATTGGCCCTCGGGGATGTGCCGTGTGGCCAATTGGCAGAATGTAATTGGCCCGACTGGTAGTGGGTGCTTCCCTGTGTGGAAATGTAGGCATTGTGAGGTGCAAAGTTGAAAAGCGTTAATTCGCATTGGATCCCATCCCCATTGCTTTGGCCTGATTAGGTTCCTAAATCCTTGTCCTGCTTATCACGAAATGGGCAAGCAAGCAATAGATTTCCTGCATTTGCATATGTGCACTCTAAAAAAAAAAAATTGCGTAGCATATGACAGGACTGGCTCAAGCATATGACAGGACTGTTGTCACTGTTGGCCTCCGACCTTGATATCTATCAATTATCTTTGGTTCCTTGATGGCTAGTACAAACGATTTTGAGGAACAAAAATATATCCTTCCAAGATGCCCTTTTTATATTGCTGAATGTGCCCCATTATATTATGAAATATTCAACTTTGATCGTTTGAGGAGGTTTTAGGGATGGATTTAGAGAGGAACGTTCGCGGTCGTGGGTCGATGTCGGCGATAGTAGGCGGTTGAACGACGTGGGCTCTCGTCGCACGTTTGGGTTGGCTCGTAGGGAATTCGAGTGTTGAATTCTAGAATATATATATAATTCTGGAATATATATATTTTGATGTTGAACAAGTGGATCTGAGGCAACCGCAACGCGACGTGTGATATGCATCCGCGTGAGCTGTAGTTTTTTGCGGGGAACTTTCTTCCTGCGGTGCCTTTGTCTGGGTGAAAGTTTCGTCGTGTCAAGCGGTAGGTGATGTTTTTGCCGTGGCAGGAGTGATTTTTTTTTTTGCAAAGAAACGCATAAAACCGAAGCACGACGCTTATGTTGCCGAGGCTGTCGCTCAATCGGACGTCGGTCGCGCTCTGTCCCGTGTCAAAAAGTGCAAAAGTGCAAAATCTCAAGTACGTGGTTGAGTGTCGGGACCATAATTATCTCATTATCATTAGCAGTCGACCGGTCGCTTCGGGTCGCGTCGCCTGTTGCGTCTGAACTTTTGGCCATTTGTGTTTATGCACAAGTTTGCTGTCAGGAATTGCCGAAACTGAACTCTTCCATTGCAGGTGCTGATTTTTTTTTTTGCAGAGTTTTAGCGGTCTTATAGATTAGCTTCCCATAGTTCCTGATGCGGAATACGCGGTGCTGTTGAAAATGCTTGATGCGAGAATTTTAACCAGAGATTTAATTGCAAGAAGTCTGTCCATGATATCGTGTTATCGCTACATTTATCGGTGGGATGAGGAAAATTTTCGCTTGTTGTATCGGTTACATGCCGAAGGCATATCGTCGATGAAATATTTATTGAGCCTTTATCCCTAAATCTTTCCTTCGTCCTCTGGACATTCCTCCCGATGGCATTTGAATAGCGGATCGGGTCAGCGTGATTAATTTGACCCCGATTCCGTTATCTCATGTTTCCGCTCCTCTGGCTGGAAAAATATTCGAATAAAAGTTTTTTTTTCATAGTCATTGATGCCGTATGTGTTTATCGAAGATTCCATATCCTGAATCTATGGCTAATATGCCATAGACTTGTGGAATTTTTTTAGTTAGCAGAATTGATTATACTTTTCTCCTTTGATCGTTTTTTTTTTGTCTCTGTGGTCGGCCATTTCAGTCGTTGCATTACTTTCTTTGCTTTTACGCACAACCGTATGGCTTCATTTAATCCTTCCATAATCCTAAGTAGGTAAGGTAAACTGTTTTGAACGATGAAATTCATGGGAAAAAAGTAGAGACCTTTCCCCACCCCTTTCGGGGTGGGGGAGAAAGGTCCCACACCACTCTCTCAATTTCAAGCCGAGCGCCAGGCGGAGAAAGTCGGTGTGTTCCCAATTACGACCTGGGTGAGGCGGCGGCCAGGCTCGAAGCCTGGCCTCCTGGACGGCACGCGGACGCTCTACTCCGTAGGCCATATACCGCCAGTTGAGAATAGGCAAGGGCGACGGAGGTCCTTATGGATGGCATGCCTTTCTTTTCATAGCCAGAGGGCAGACTTGCAGACCCCCCCCCCCCTTCCCCCCGTCTCATTACGTTTTCCACCTAATCCTGGATATCTTCGGGAAGGGGCTTCTATCGAGCGAGCATGTGGCTGAAAGGCCCATTTAGGCCATTCAGATCGATGTGATCGTCTCTTCAGAGACGCACCTTTTCCCATCGCCCCTTTCACTATTGATTATTGGCTTTCATCGGGACTAAGGACACATGAAGGAGAACAGAAATAGACATGGTTCGAGGGAGGGGAACAAAGCAAGATGTCCCAATTTCTCGGGTTTCTGACGTTGTTTGTACAATGTGTGGATAGTCACCGCCTTCGAGCGGATCGTCATCGCCTTGCTTCTCGGTGGAAAGGATCAACGTCACACGAGTTTCTTCTCAAGTGAGTTTCGTTTATGTCGTTTATTGTTTTCGACGGTCGTCAACCGGAACAGAATGTGCCGAGTCAATAGAGCATGGAAAACATGTTGTTTACTTCTTGGTGCTTTAATCAAGGCCAGTAGTACCAGTAATATTTTTTAAGTTAAAATTAAATATTGCTTTCTTTTCAAATGATTTTCTGTCATAAATAAACTATTTAGTTAGTTAAGCAAGATATTCATACCGTGTTACGTCGGATGTTTCCCAGTATTTCTGTACCATTATCTACCTCACAAAAATAAACATTGAACAAATTGGGCTGGGAAAGGAATGGTGACATCATTTTTGCAACGTGCCTCTGGAAATCCAGCAGCGTTATACTACTGCGAACTGCTATCATCTTGACAGCATGTTGTAGTTGAACTACTATTAAACTAATGGTCGTGCATTCCTATGTAGCCTTATATAACATGCGAAGAAAATGCGGGACTCCTGTAGCCCCGCCAGGACAGAAAGCGTCACTTCAAACGAGAATTGAAATATTTCTTCAATTCTTGGATCATTTTGGCAAATTCTGAGGAACAGCTATTCGACGCGTTTGATTCATGATTGTATATTCAGAAATGACAAGATGGCTGGCCCACTGGTGTTCTGAAGGATATACTGAGCGCCTATTCATTTTACAGTACAGAATATATGAGTAGAAGTCGAAAAAACATTCTGAACTTTATTGCATTATATTTAATTTTATAATTCCAGCACTATTACATATCTTGCACACAGGAGTTGCATACCGCCTTACAACTCTTTCACGCGGATACGCCAGTTGCATACCATGTCATCTCTGGTGTCAGCTTGCGATCTTGTTTGCATTGAGTATGTGTGGGGAAGGGCACTAGTCAGAAGATGCGAGCTGTCTAACCGGCACATCTGCTCCATCTTCTATTCAAGTATTTATTCATCATGACATCAGTCGTGTTTGTTTTCTTGTACTCCATAAAAAAAGGAGTTCTGCTTCCTCGTATTGAAAGACGCCACATCACCAAGGATATCCTTTATTCAGACCTTCCTATAGGCAAGGATGAAAGCCAATTGTTGCAAACCGAGACAGACATCAATCACAGAACCACAGGGAAATATAAAAAAAAAGAACAAAGTAGCACGAACCTTCCGATCTATTTCGATCCAGTACAAAGACCCAAACATGAACCAGTCGCGAAGAAGAAAATAGACGCACCTCAAGTGCGATCCTAGCATCCAACCGAGGCTATCCACGGCCTCCCTATCATCCTCCCAAATATTGGGATGCGCCACACAGTTGGTTTCAAGAACCAGAATCCAGATTAAGCCTACGGTGTGAAATGATATCCCATCCTCTATTGTTTGCACCTCTACAGTCCTTGATTCGACAGTCCTTGAAACCAGTCTATGTTATCTGCATATACAAAACGGCATGTACAAATTTTGGTTTTACAAGTTTTCTTCTATTTGCTTCTAAGAAATGAATACAGAAATGAACGTCGAGTAAATTATTTTTCGTTATCGCTTACTACAAACAGACCGATTAGTAACTCATACGCCCGCCATTACACATTCATACTCCACTCTCAAAATTTAGAAATGAGCTATGATGAAGGCCTGACAAGAACTTTTATGAACCTTGGGTGCATGAATCTTGTGAAAAAGAATCAGATTCCTTTTACGAATGCAAATATTATAAAGTTGGTCCACAAAATAATTTACAGCTGGTACACAGTCGCGAATGGTAGAGAGAAATACTCTGATCACGTGGTTGCACTGAACGAGATCAGGTTTAGCCATTATTTTTTAAGCAGTTCAGCTGCAAAAACAAGTTTTACTATATCAGGCCTAAGATGAGAACGGGCCTTACACAACAGAGGCACAACCCAAAGTAAACTCAAGTAAGTGCAATCGAAACTGTCATGCCGCAAGCACAAAACACCCGTGTGCAAAAAAAAAAAACAAACTGAGCTTTCTTTGTAGCTGTTGTCACGAAGAAATACTGACAGAAAACTACCCACAGCAGAGTTCAAGTATAGAGTCCTTGGAAAAGAAGCATCTTGACTTTCTCACTACACAATCACAGACCAGACTGACTGGGTGATCCCGAGGAATCATCATGAATGAAAGAAAAAAAATCCGAAAAAGCTAACGTTTGTGCAAAAACTACTGCGACCTAGCAGTAAGTACAAAAGGAAACAGGAAATGACGAACATCAACAGAAATAAAAGAGCCAGCGAGACAAAGAGAATTGGAGATGACAGCATATTGCACATACTTCAGATAGGAAGAAAGCGAAGGAATCGATAAGCGACTACTGACCATTGACTTCTGGGATGGTCTCGCAATCCACTTCAGGATTGGCCAGACCGAAGCTGGACGAACGCCTCTTCTTGCGTATGCAATCCAAGTCGCTCCCGTCCAGCGAGGACTCGTCGAGCGAGACTTCGATCCGCATCCCTCCGTGGCACAGGTCGACGGATGGGGCTCGACCGATGCTGCTGGAACGCCGTCGCTTCTTCTGTTCGCTTTCGTCGGCGTCGTTCTGTTCGGGGCTGTGGTTTCCGTTTGCGTGGTGGAACGTGGGGCTGTAGGATTCTTCAAGCATTTGACGCTTCATGATGTGCCGTTCCACCCATTTCAGGAGCGTCAGCACAGAGTCTGTGCTCGACAGGCGCTTGCTCGCAGCAGTACGGACCAGGCGGTGCGAGGTGACGCGGAAGGTGCATGCCACTCCTTGAAGGGTACGCATGGCATCCTCATCCGTGACGTCATCCCCGACGTAGATGACGCGGATCCGCTCCAGCCAGTCCACGCCAAACATGGTTCGAAGGATGTAGATGGATGCTCGACCCTTGGAAAGGGAAAAGAGGGAGATCGTTGGACTCGTGTCCCAGGTGTAATAAGCGAAGGTTAAGCAGGCATGCTTTTTTAGTTGCGACTGCTAGCCATCGTGCCATGACCAGCTCAGCCGCTGGTAAAGAGCTCAAACCCGCACGTGCAACATGTCCAGGATGGCTGAAAAGTGACGACTTTATTTCAAGTATATGATATTCTCAAAACATATTTCTTTCTTAATTCTTGGGGGGGGGGATTTTGAATCAGTTATTATTTTCAGCCACCCCGCACACATCAGTATATCAGTCTTTTCTCTCATCGTGCCAGAGATGCACATCATGACATCTGAAAGCATCCACATCATGGCATGGTAGAATCGCAGCGCAGCAATTATCGCAATTAGCAGAAACCATGTCTGAGGAATACCTTCACCCAATGCTGACACCAGTAATCTCGGCTAGCATTTTTCTTGCCTTCTTGAGAATTCAAGCGCTTAAATTCTTGTCGGGTAGGGAATGCAAGGAACCCGTTAGGTGAAGTCCCTGCCCCTTCTTTGGATACCTTTAAGGAGAGGTTACATGCATTTAAGGACAACGAACAAAAAAAAAAGGGAGCAATGTAACGTAAAATCTTAACGAGGACGGTTGATTGAATAACTCCCTGAAACTGAAACAGAAACTGATCTGGTGTCCAGGTTCCCCCTCCCTCCTCGACTAAGAGACAGAACATGCCCAGAAGAGAAAGTAAATGGTTTCTCCACTGGGCATGGCTCACGTTCGACGGAGGGATCTCGTGGCATATATCACTGCTTCAAAGCCCATGCCAAATTATTCCGATAAATGATTCCCATAAGCCGATCCAAGGGTGAGTTACATGAATAACAAGCTTTAACATCACGTGGATCCAGATGAAACATTTTAAGCGTTAAGTTGCACGGAGAGTAAAGCCTGCAAAGTTCCCAACATGCAGGTGCCCACAGTTAGTTGAACGCGGCAAATTGTCTTACTTTTCCCCATTGGACTGGTGGCCTGGCTTCGATGGCGCAATGAGCCGGATAGGCCCTGAAGCCGTTCTTGGAGATGATAGCTGTCGCCCTCTGCTTGAATGAACCTCTGAGCTGGATCGGGACAGCGCGGAAGTGATAAGTTAAGATGGCACCCTTGTTCTCGACCCAGGCACCCTCCCTGCATAATTCATCCTGCAGCTCCCGACACATGTTCCGCATCTTCTCGTGATACTCCTCGGGGACCGGGTGGACGAACTTGCTCCCGTCTGGGTGGAGAATCTCCAGGCCGTGATTCCCGGCGTAGGTGATTCCATCGATCCCGACCATCTTCCGCACGTCTTCCAGGCTTCGCCCGGATACGATGGCGATGGCGACGTCGCTGCTGTTGCTCAGTCGGACGAGGATGTTCTTCGTCTCCGCAGGCATGAGGGCCAAGTCCGGCTTAGGCGCGATGGGGGCCAGCGTTCCGTCGTAGTCCAGGAGAAGGGCTATCTTGGCCGTGTCTCCGATGTAGTCGCTGAGGACCTCATCGAAATCCTCCATCGTCATGGGTCCCAAGGTCTTTGTACCCATCGGTTCATTCTCGCCGGTGTCCATGCCTCCCAACGCTTCTATGCCTCCCATCGCCTGAAACGATGGAGTCCATGCCGAGTCACCCAGAGAATGATGCATGGCTTACGGAATAAAAAAAACTTCAGATAGAAATCCTCCATCGATCACGTGCAAGACCCAGAAAGGGCATGCTTGGCTCCAATTCAATTCTGTCAATTATTGCTGACATATTAGCGATCCAATGTAATAATTGCAAAATTGCTCAGAAACGTAATATGCCATACCTTTCGACTGGCTGAGACAACGTCCTTCACATTATTCGCTGCTGAATAGACAAAAGTAAGGGGAAAACAAAACGATTTCGATTCGTTGTCCCTTACTTTCAACACTTCTGTAAAAAAAATCTCTTTTCAAATCGAAGTTATGGCCAATATTCGGATAGAAGCAGCACTGAAAGTCTGAAATGTAAAATTTCCGACTTTCGCGCTTCGAAAATCACTACAGAATGGGCGAATCTTTCTGATTATATAATATATGTATAATATATTTAAGGATTGAAAACTGCCAGTTCAGGCAAAAGTAATTGAAACAAAGGAACTCTCTCCAAGCAATAAAAGCACTTTCCCAGTTTCGTCGGAGGACAAGTGGACCTCACAAGTTCCCGCTGAATGTTGATATGAATTACCGAATTTGTTCAACTTTTTGAAATAGGAAAGGAAGAAGGCTTAAAATCTACGGCTTTGAGTCGGTTCATCTTCGTTGCAATACCTTGTAGCTCCTCAGGATGAGACAGTCATAATACGAAATAATTGGAAACGCACGTGGGAAGTACAAATCTCCCACACCGTTTTTCTTGTCACTTCTACAAATCCTTGCAACCACTTTCGTAATCGTAGTGGTGAAGCGATTTGCCATTGCCATTTGACAGACGTGATGCATACGAGTTCACAAACGTGATACGCATCAAATCATCGAGAGTCCCAGATCCGGGCTCTTCTCGAATATACAACAAAGCTTCTTCATAAATCATGTAGATATATTCTGCAAGGCCGGGATCATTCAGGGCCAGCAGGGCAAACGCTTTCAGTATTCCAGACAGGCTCACACTAAAGCCATTCCCCTGTCTGCAATCATCCCCACTTTTTTTTTGTTCACTCACTTTTTTCAGATACGGATCGAGATGAAGATTGCCAAGCTGCTCCTCCATGGTCATCGACTGATGCTCACCCATGCTCTTCACCCACGATGAGGACAGGGAAAAATGGGAAATCTTTTTTTCAATACGGTAATATTTAAGGTCCCGAAGTCCCAAAGCAGTCGGAGTGAAGAGCAAGCCATGAACCATCGCCTGTTAGATGCAGAGGGAAGAATGGGGGGCTTGGCAAGCACATTATGCGTAGCCCGTAGAACCGGCCCAAACGTGCGAGATAACTTGATATCGAACATGTTAGGGAGATAACTTGATGTCGTACATATTTCGACATGCGCGTCTAGTGATTGGATCGTGGAAGAGTTACAAGCGTCTCCAAAACCGGGCGAGTCCAGGAAGAACATGGAGCAGACGAGCGGCGCGTTTGACCGAGGACCAGTGCCGTCGGCCGAGCATGGAAAGAAATCGACTCGAGCGGGAGAACTTGAACAATGGGATTGTTCGTCGGTGTTTTTGTTGGTGGTTTATGTTTTTTTTTTTTTACGCTCTGGTGAAATGTATTTAAAACCAAAAAGGGTCAACATCTTAATCCTACACAACGCAGAAGAGTTCATTCATCGAGCTATCCCACCTGGTTTAATCATTAATCCTTCATGGAAACATTAAGCGAATTCTAAAGGAAATCTTAATAATGGGTCGAACTGCCAAAATCAACGCCCACGTTTTAACGACTAAGCAGAAGAAAGAAGTAACCACGGGAAGATAAGTAAACTATTTCCGGAGCAAAATGAAGGTAAATCATCCAAGCTGGAAGTAAACCACATTATTGAGATCGGAACTCGAGCGAACTCATGAACAAATTTCCCTATAGTGAAAGGTGGTGGAGAACGCAAATTTTCGGTCATCTCAGAGAGATGACAACTAAATATCTTCGAATTTCCTGCAACGAACTCTTTTCACCAAGAATCAAGAATCAATTTTTTTTTTAATTCTCTGAAGCATATTCTTATAGATTATTGCCGAAATTTTTTCCAATAAAATCATGCTTGGAGCGCCATTTCTTGCTTATGGCTCTTTTATGCACAACAGCAGAGTTATTGGGACATCCTCATCTTTCCCCTTTGGTCTTTTGCATGGCTTCTTCCTAATGAATTCGTCTGGGTATTTCGCTGGGGAAGCCAACAGGAAATAATTACTTTCCTCCTCACTGAACAGATTGTATTACTAGGCATTCAGATTATTATTCATTTATAAGCATTAACAGCACCGAAGGACCCAGACAATGAATGCAGAAAATAAAAGTGGAAGCTGAAACCAAATGTATCTGTCTGTATCCGCTAGCGCAGTGTCAATTGACTTGTGTACATTACACCATACACCGCCAAGTCAGAGATATCCGAGATAAGCGGCCGTGCCGTCATGCGCGAACCCAGCCTCAAGCAGAATTTACGACTCATGCAATGCATAGGCGCCATGAATATACACAGTACTGTTGGAAGATACCAGTACGGAAGTATAGATACTACAGACTTACAAGGTAAGCAACCTCAACTTACCATAAATCTTGCCTTTATTGCATAACGTGATACCGGTTGGCCTTCGCTCTTTTGGGTTATTTAACTTTCTTTCAAGAGATCAAACGAGAACTGAATGCAGATAAAGGAAACGTTCTCGATGGAAGGTGTGTCCAGGTAACACAAACCATTGAATCAATATTGATCGAATGTTACCAAACTGAGTTGATGGTGAGTTATCAAAGCATGCCTTCGATGAAGGTATCATAACTACTTCCAAATAAGTTTAAAAAAAAAAATGGAGATGGGAACATACCTTGAGGAAGGCGTTGAGCCAGAAGTCCACATTCATGGTCTGCTCCCTCTTTTTCAGGTGATGCATGCGCATCTCCCGCTCATCATCGGGCATCGTGAGGGCCCGATGGAGGGTGTCCGCCACGTCGTCCAGTTCGTAGGGATTCACGAGCAGGGCCTCGTGCATCGTCTCCCCGGCTCCCGCGAAGGGAGACAGGATCAGCACGCCTGGCTTATCCACCTGACAAGCCACGTATTCCTTCGCCACCAGGTTCATTCCATCTCGAAGAGGGGTCACCAGTGCCACAGACGAATCCCTGCCAAATAAAAAAAATGACGTAGCTAGATTCTGTAGACTTTAACCGACAGACTCCACTTCATCCCATGCATTATACAGTACCATAGAAAGCATGTTCACTTATTCATATTTTAATCTAATCCCTTTTAGAATGCTTTATGACACAGCTAACTTCGAACTAACCCATTTTCTCTCCTTGTACCCTTCGCTTTCCTCTTTTTGAAAAGGGATGAATCTTTAAAAAAAAAAAAACCTGTTTATGTGTTCCACTCGAGGTTTCAGGAACGTCTAGATGCCGTGCAATGCGTTAATATGCTTTGACATATTTCATTCCTGACTCCATTCACATAAAGACTCCGCAGCGAAGAGCATTACGGGCCGGTATGTTCGTGATACAGTTCGGTTCGACGATAATGAAAACATTTGTTCTCGGACCCGGAAAGTTAACTGAAACCCTCTTTCATCACACGGTCCCTGACACTTATTCCGACAATAAACCATCACACTGACCTGTAAAAGGCGGCGAGCTCATCCTGGGAAATACAGCCATAGATGTACCGGATGGGGGACCAATTGGGCGTGGAGAAGCGTCCGTTGATGCGTCCGATCTCCAGGTCTATCTGCTCCTTCAGCTGCTGGTACTCCTTCACGTCCGTCCGGGAAGGGACGGCCACCTGCAGCAGCGTCACCTTCCCCAGGTGCTCGGGATGCTTCTCCAGCAGTCTCTCGAAGGATCGGATCCTGCCGGGCACAAAGGCATGATCAAAGACTGGATACTTTCAGGAAATCGCCCGAATCGATCCACGCATTGAAATGAGCTTGGAAATTTTCAATAAACTTGATTAATAACGCTGAGGAGGACAAAGATTAAGCTTAACCCTACATACTTTTAAAACTATGTTCTGACAAGTCAGTGATTGCGATGATCTCCCTCAACTTTCATTCATTAAGTAACCACATTTCATATTGCTTCTCAGGCTTTCCTCCAATCACTATTTCCCACGCCCTCATACGTACTTGTAAGGGACGATGGCACAGGAAGAGTAAAACGGGCCAGCTGATGAGCAAAGGGGCGCAGAATCCCAATTTCCAGATGGTTCTGTTGCCTCCCATGCCTTGCCAATTTCAATTTCTACTTCGCTTTGGCTCGTACGTGCGAGAAATAATGGGATCATAGAAAGGGAATATATTTGATGCAGGTACTCCAGCGAAACGATGGTTTCACTGGAGTCGGTTTGCAAAATGTCCTGCGGTTCGATGCTGATGCGATGGAAGGAGAGACAAGGGTGCATTCAGACCTATCCAGGACGCTCAATACTTCCATTACTTTTTGACATGGATAGGTTACAATTGGACGACCCTCCAGGAATCGATCCTGGATCAGCGTTGCCAGGAAATTTGATCAGTTCAATCAGCTACGAGACTTTAAAAAGGGTTCGTCTTGTGAAAACACCCTGGATCGAAGGAGACAAAGCAGTCCCAAAGTGTTGCAATCGTGAAGGAGCAAATAATCAGTAGGAATGAGATAATCAAGATAGGGTAGCAAGGGGATTAAGGCTCATTGATCTAAAGATAGAATGGAGATGCTTTGAGAGCTGCTCTGAGCTCCATCCTGTTTCTTATCTCCTTCCCTTCAGGAGTTCCTGGAATCCGGTTGTGCGGGTAAGCCTGAGAAGCACATTGAAAAATTGATATTTACTTTCACTTTGATTTGGAGCATTCATGTATTGAAAAATTCTCAGCGTTGCAGAAACTCCCATCTCAGCTGTGCATAAACCTAATACTGCATGGGCATTAAAATGATAAGTCGGCTACGGGATTATCTTTGACGTCAAGTTTAACCATTCATCAACAATATCAGTTGAGTAAGAGTCCTTGATTTTGTGACATTCCTAAGCTTCGACGTAGCACCATTGCGTTTTCTGGAACTCTTTCTCAATTGACTTGATATATAATCCAGTTTAAACTCTGCTTAATGCAGTCATTAAACCCAAGAAGAATAGTTGGAAAAAGTAAGAAGTTCGAGCACGTCGCTCCTCTTCCAAATGAAACTACCATTTCAATAAGTTTCGAGCCCTAGATAAGAGAGGCAAAGAAGAGAGACCTATTGACGAGACCCTTGGTATAATCGAGCCGATCCACCCCGAGGATGATCTGCTGGGAGGACTGCAGCGCCCTGGGCGCCGCGTTGGCCATCTCCTCGAACCGCTTGTACGGGATCCCGATCGGCAGAGCCCGGACCTTCACCGTCCTCTCTGCCACGTCGACCAGGTTGTGGACCCGGTCCACCCGGCAGCCCAGTCGCCGCTGGCAGCAGTCCAGGAAATTCCGACAGTAGTCCTCGATGTGAAATCCCACCATGTCGCACCCTGGAGGCATGGAAATACTTTATAATACCGGACACCGACGACGCCGCATCTCAGAGCTGGCAACGCGCTGGGAACGGATAGAAACTTTTGCGGGGACAAAACTATGCCAAATTGCAACTGCACGATTCCGACAAATTCTAAGCATTCTAAGCATAAATTCTAAGCAGCCTGTTGAGCTAATGGCTCAACAGGCTGCATGAACTTCACGCACAAATTTTTCCTAACGAAATGAAAAATACAATATCCTGCCACAAAAGTTTGCTGCCCCCAAAAAGTCTTGCAACATTTTTGGCTATCGAAATCCTCGGCACACCACACACCATTTCTCACCAACTTGACCCGTAACCTGTCAGATTCCATTTTCTAGAATTTTTCAACTTGACAATTGCATACGTACATCATGCAAAGATTTCTGTTCACCTCCCGCAGAAAATTCTCAGACTTTTTGCAAAAATTGTGTCGAAAACGGTGAGATTATTTCTTAATTTAATTATTTAACACCCACTCAGCCACCCGAGGACCTTCCTTCGACACAAAATAAATTCCCCGGTTGGCCCCGTAGATGCTGAGTATTTTCATCTCGTCAAGTGTTGCCAATAAAATGACTTCGAACTTCCTGAAATACGATGCTCTTGAGGAAATGGAGCGGAAACTCGCATCAGATTGCCAAGATTCCCTTTCGACTCTTCCCACCCTTAAAAAAAATTCTATGACGGAATATCAGGTAGCTTAACGCTCATTTCCCCCCGTCAGGCGATCAGCTGCATTCGACCCGATGCACGTGGCCAAGCGACAAGTGTCGCGCTATCGAGCGCGTGTCGTTTACTTTGCATCGCCTGCCTTTGCTGAACATGAGGCTGTCCCTCACTAGCTTCGCTGGTTTGGCTTGCTTATATAGCTCAGGTAGGTAAACAAGGCCTTCGTTCCCTATTCATGGCTCAGGCCACAAGGCGATGCTTCCCAAGAAATTCGATAAGGCGATGTCACATACGCCCTTATTCCAACGACCGTTTCATAGAGGTGAAAGGAATTGCATCGTCCTTACCAAGGATTCCTTGGAGGACCTCGTCGTCCCAGGGGAAGAGACGGAAGATGTCCCACGGCGGGAAGGGAATGTGGAGGAAGAATCCCAACTTGCATTTCAGATTCTCCTCTTCGCATTGCTGCAGCGTGAAAGAAAAGGAAGAGACTGAATGAGCTTCGCGCGCGAGATTTGACTGGCCGAGACGGATTCGGTTCGCACCAATCAGAGCCTGCCACGTCATAACGCAGGACGGAATAGAGACTACTCGGGATTTCGGTCCCTGGTAGGCGTCTATGGAAGACCTCGAGTTATTTCAGGGTTTGCGTGCCTGTCGTGGCTCGCTGACGAGTGAGACGTGTCGCAGACGGAGCCGTCCCGTTAAAAATTAGGCAGGGCGATTGAAAATTGAACAGTGCGACGTACAGCTTGATGGGCATTTTAAATCCCAGCGATATTGCCCTGGGTGAAAGACGATGAACGGAGAAACGCCGGCAGTGCGGATGCAGAATCAGAAACGAGCAGGCTCTTCCAATAAAGGTCAACTGCAACTTCCAATTAACGTCAGTACCGAGACAGTACCATGTGTACCAAGAAACTTAAGGATAGAGCGAGAATTCTCCTAATTCGTGATTCCATTAGAAATTAATAAGGTCTTGGCTGCCAAGAGAGAAATAGTTGTTCGCATCCAACTTCACGTGAGCTGGATGCGAAGAGCCAATCGCGAAGCCGGATCGATGTGCCGATTCAGTTCACGTGCAATCTGCATTATTGAGGCAGCTGACCTCGTTTTCCCCTGAAACAAGGTCGGCGACGCGGGACAATCGATGCGCTATGGTCGAAGGGGGCGGGGCGGGGACGAGGCACGACACCGGTTCTGCTAACAATCGGGGACTGGATGTCCCCTGTGACCTACGAACGGGAATTTAAAACGAAATCCGACGAGCAGGCTCTTGGCCCACCGTCGGAGGAGATACTGACGCAATCAATCGTTTCACCGAGACATCAAAATATTGTTCACACATTTCATGAAATGTTTTTTTTCCGAATTCAGAGTCATATATAAGTTATGATAAATAATAAGAAGCCATTGTCATCACTCAGCGACTGTATGAGCAGTAAAAAAAAAAGGAGTAAAAAAAAAAAATCTCGCCAAGTCCAGGAAGGAAGGAAAAAATTCTGACCTGCCGGATGTGATTAGCAGCGAGCATGAGGTGATAATCGTGGATCCAGACCAAGGGGATGCGCTCCTCGCCCTCCTTCTCCTTCGCCTTCAGCCTCTTCAGGGCCTCCACAGTTTGGTAGGCGAACATTGCGTTCACCGTCGAGTATGACTGGAAAGGGCATTTATATTTTTATATGCATATATTTCATTAATATAATAAAATATGGAAAATGTAATATTTAAAAACGTATATTTCGCGCTTACACATATGTACAATTTTATTCAGCTCGATTATTCGGCTTATTCGGCTCATAGTCCGTTACGTTTCATTACTCAGTGTCACCTCAGAGGTGACACACATTCGTGGGGGTGACACAGGTGACACACATTCGGCGCGCAAAAAACGGCGGCGAAACTTCCAGGAACTGTCAACAGGCGTTCGCGACTCATCAAGGCCTTTTCCTTCAGACAACAGACAAAGCGATTCGACGGTTCTTGCCAAGTCGGGGAATCGCGCGGAAATAGCGTGCATAAACAAGGATTTCGGCGCAGACTCGGATGGAGGAACGCTCGAGAAGAAATACGAGATCTGGCAGCACTGCCAAGGTCGTCGTCGTGTAACGTCCTCGACGCAAGGTCGGCCAACTTTTTTTTTGGGGCCGAATTCCCACCCTCCCCAAAAAAGTTGAAGGACCTTTGCAAATACAAAGGATTCTCCGAGTGCCTTTTCGAAGGGAACCGCGGCCGGGCACTCGCGGAGCATGCGACCATCCACCGAGACGCTCGTGTCGCCTTTGCGACGTTTTGCGACGCATTACGACGTTTTGCGACGCTTACCGTGGATTGAACGCTCTCGAGCGAAACTCGTTAGAGGCGCGCCCCCGTTCAACTTCGAGGCACAACAGGGAGCAGGCGGCTTTATTGGAAACAAAATCTCTTTCGAACTGATGAGTTAGAATTCCATTTCCTACTTCATCCGTACGGGCAAAAATGCTTCCGGTTCAGATGGCTCAGACAGATAGCTCAATATAGCTACGTTCCGGGGTCGATCGGGCGAGCGAGGTCGTTCTTTAAGGCCAGATGGTTTCGACCGCGGTTTTTTTTTACGATGAGGGCGTGGGGGTGTCGGTCGGGGTCGGTCGGGGTCGGTCGGCCCGCGGTTTGCTCTACCGACTTCCCTATCTTTTTTAAGATCTTTATTTGAAGCGAAAACCAGTCCCTGTCCGGTACTGCGACGCACTTCTGCATCTCGTAATTTCTTCGTCGGCGAGCAGCTGGCCGTCGTAGAAGGCGCTTCTAGAAGAATACAAACGAGATTCCGAGGTCGAATTCGTCCCTTACCTCCCACTTGTCCGCCTGAAAGACGGCCCGGTCGGGCATGGAATGGAAGAGAGGCCAGAAGGTGGCATTGCAGCAGCCGTTGTAGTAGTCGTCGAACATCTGCTCTTCCACGTGGACCGGCACGACCTGCAACGGAACGGTCGGTATTTAAACACAAATAATGCTTTTGTTTGCTTTCTCTGATTTATCATAAAGATAAGACGGCAACCCGTCCTTGTCGGACGGGCAACAACCTCGAGTCGACGTGCCTCGAAACACGTCGACCCGGAGTCGCCCCCGACCCCAGCCTCACCTGATCCGACCTGAGGCCCGCCGAGGGCCCCTTGTCCTCCGGGGCCGACTCGGGCACGGGCTGGGACGGGTCGTCCAGGTGGATCCCCGGCCAGCCCACCCAGAGCCCGCCGCACTGGATCACGACCGGGGCCACGGCTGTCACCAGTCCGCCGGCGCTGGAAGTGAAGTTACGTGAACTTGAGAGGTTCAATCGATGAGAGATTCAATCGATGAGAGGTTCGATCGATGAGGGGCTGATGTACTTCCTCGTCTTTAATGGGGGATAAACAGTGTTGTTTTGTGCGAGAAAACGACTGGAAAATGCTATGCCACGAAAGCAGGCCGCTTTAAGCATGCATTTAAATAGCTCGGTGAGCCATTGAAATGGGAAATGGCTCGGCGAGCCATTGAAATGCGACTCGGTGAATGGACATCGCATGCTTAAAGATAACGCAGGTGGTTCTAAAAAGGTGCAGCCCTCATCTCCATCCTCCGTGCCCCGCACATCAACTCCGTGAAAGCGGCACGGAAGCTCATCCAATCTTGTCTTCAGACAGGCACGGACGGACTCGACTCACCATTGCTTCCGCTGCAGTTCGCCGTGCTCGTCTTTACGGAGGATGAAAGGTAGACGATTGGACACGACCACCATTGGAGATTTCAGGTTCATCATTTTCCCGGCACGCCAGGTTAACGGCTAAAAAGAAGACGGACGGGGAAAAGAATAACAGCTGCTTGGAACGTTCTAGAACGCCTCGACGGGAACACCCTAGAACGGACACGAGAGAGAACGAGGCGACCCAGCGCAAGTGTGCGACTGAGAGAAATCGATGGAAGCGGGTAGGAGGCAGTCGCGGGGGGGGGGGGGAGTTGCGCGGGGAGGCCAGTTCGAGGGAATCACGTGGCATCCACGTGAAGCGGTCGTGGATCCTCCCCCCCACCCTGCACGACCTAGCATCACCCAGTTCGCATTATTTCGGTGGGGGAGAGGGGCGAGGGGGGGGGGGGAGGAGGGGATTTCCAGGAAGTTTCCCGGTGAATCAGTCTCTGCTTGCGTCGGTCATCGATGACTTTCTCCACAACTGAATAAACCGGTTTCCAAGATTTTTTTTGTTTTCTTGAAACGACGTTGCCACGGATCCCGCTTCTGGAACTTTCTTTGTGTACGAAAGGAACCAACCAGAATCCTTGCGAGTTTCAACGGGGTCGCAGTTTCTAGATACTTCCGATGCCATAGCAACGATGGATACCCCTCGCCCCTCCTCGCCCTTCCTCGCCCCTCCTCGCCCTTCCTCGCCCCTCTTCGTCTGACCTCCCCGAAACAGCTTCGAATAAACAGGGTGGGATTAATCGAATGACCAAAAATGGATTTAAAAAAAAAGGAGGCTGCGTTGATGTGAAATGAAGTTTCGTCCTCATGCAGAAAATTCTCTCTTTTCCTCGGCAAATTAAGAAATCGGGGGGGGGGGGAGGGGATGCAAAATCTCCTGTGCAACCAAAACGTGCTTGTAACTTTCCTCATTCCTAGATTAACCCTTCTAACGCGGACTGAATCTGGCTAATTTAGCCAATACCACGGAAGCTGTATTTAGGCAAACAATAGCGGCCAAGCGATTCAAGACTATCATTCACAGGTACCACAAACTCATATTGCATATCATATTATATACAATAAATATTTCCATAAAGGTCATGGCTTGAGGAATAGAGCAAGGAGAATTTTTTGCTTTTTTTTTAGGGACGGGCATCGAGACCGATATAAAGGGTTAAGAGAGTTAAACGTCCAGAGTTTTATTTTTTTTTTTATTCCCAAAATTGCAAATAAATTTGCAGAGATTCCAATGAGCCAGGGAGAGAAGGGGCTGAAAGAGAAGAAATATTGCCTTCGTCGGGGCAGGACGGGTTTGCTTATCTCTTCATCCGGAAAATCGATAAGCCTGTAAGAACCCCGCTGGAAGGCTTCTCCAGGTGGAAAGCCTGCGCCACACTGGCTGCACCGACTGCACCGTGCTGCACCGTGCTGCACCGCCTAAGAGTCACTCGTGTCGTCGGTGAAGGCTCTTCCTGGCAGGGGTTTTTTTTTCAATTTTTCAAAAAATTTTCCCTTCTCGGCCGAGTCAATGCAGATTAGCTTTGAGAGCTTTTTTTTTTATGGAGATTTCAGTAATCCCCCTGAAGTAGGCTTGAAAATCCGGTTTTGGGGAATCCGGTCCCATTCCTGGCAGGCTGGAGTGGGCCTGCATCCGGCTCTAAGCCTTTTCTTTTCGTTGCTCAAGTGCTCGTTGGCCGGATGTTGGCCGGGTGTTGGCCGGAATTCTGCGACGAAATTTCGGTCCCGCGAAGCGAAATGTCCCAAAACATTTTCATAAATTATCATAATGACAACTTAATGAGGATCGATATATAATGAGGGATAATCCTTTCAGCAGGAAGATGAAAGTGCCAATTGCCCATTGCCAATTCGCCAATGGATCAAGGGGAAAATCCGAAAAAAAAACAACTGGCTTAGATAAGATTATCCGGGCTTAATAAGGGAATGAAGGAGGATTAAAACCGCTTTGCATCTTATGACGATGGGGGAAAAAAAAAAATACGGAAAAAAAAATACTGAAAAAAAAATTGCGGAAAAACATTAAAATTTTAAATAGCAAACTGGCTATGAAATCACGATAATTTTTCTTCCGAAATTAAAAGGAAAATTCCCATCTTCACAGTTTTACCTCGACGAAACTTCCCAATTTCAAGTTTTTAAATTAAATTTGGAACCTTGCAAATACTCCTAAAACGCGAAAAAGAATGCATTACGCGAAATCCGATTTGATCCGCAAGCAATTAATTAATTAAGGGAAGAAAACTTCATATTTGTTAAATTAGATGCCTGAATTTTAATAATTTACATTTTAATCGCAAGTCTCGAGCATATTTGCATTTCAATTTGTTTCCGCGGCAGTTCGGTCTCGAAATTTCCTCTGTCGTTTTTTGGCGCGCAAAAAATTTGCGACGGAACTTCCAGGAACTGCGGCGTCACTACGTTGCGTAGTGTGACCTCAAGGACATTTTTTTCGGCGGACCTTGGCGACCCAGATAAACAAAGGACAAAAGAGCGCGATTCGACGGAGCGGCCGAATCACGCGGAAACAGCGTGCACAAACGAGGACATCTGCAAAAAAAAAAAAAAAAAAAAAAATTTGCACACACACAGGCGGGAAGAAATACGAGATTTGGCACCGCCGCCAGAGAAGGTCATGCGTAAACAGCGTGTAAACAACGTGAACACCATCAGGTCGGCCATTACTCCTGCACGCACAGTTTCTCTTTTTCCCTCCCCTTATATAACACTTGAGAATCTTCGCGTCGAAGAAAAGAAAAACTCATCTCGTAAAAGACAAAAAGGACTGTCTCGATCTCGGGAGACCGGCCAAAAAGAGCAAGTCCTCCAGTCCTCCTGTCCTCCAGTACTCCAGACCACCAGTCCTCCAGATAATGGCCGATTATCTGTTCCGTTCCGCCGATTTCTGCGATGGCCATTTTTTTCCCCCATATTATCTGAGCTGATCCGATCCGAAATATAATCGTCAGTCAAGATCGTCCTGATTCTGCATGAATAGGAAGATAAATGTAGCAAATATGCTGAATGAGTAATGAACTTCGAGGAATGACGAATGAGGAACGAGGAATGACGAATGAGGGACGAGGAATGATGAATGATGAATGAGGAATGATGAATGCGCAGTGGAAATCTGCACGAGAAGCCGACGACAAAAATGTTCTCGGAAAGTCCATTTCCAGTCAAGTTCTCCGAAAATTGACTTCCTTGTAGAATTTCGGGGGAAACCTTGTTAAGCTCTTCAAGCTTGAAAGGCGACCACTCACAGTCCTTGCCCTTGCCCTTGGCCCTTGGCCCTTGCTCCTATCCCACGCTTTCGCTGCCCGACGATAAGATGGAGTGAGAAACTCCATCGAAAGGCTTTCTTCGGTTCCTCCCAATGAGAATCGCTGGGCCTAGGCCTAAAGGTTAGCCTAACCCACTGACTAACCTTTAGGCCTAGGCCTACCTTTCTCCCTTCGAACGGATCTCGACCCTCTAATAACCCGTTAATTGGGCTAATTAGAACTTGGGGGTTCGAAACGCGAAACGCTAGGGCCGATTGAAAGCCAATTCTGACTTTCACGAGCGACTTCGAGACGTTAGGCCTGTCTGGCGTCTTCGCGGGCGAGTCCCCGATTCGCGCTGGACGCCATCAGCGGCAGGGTTGCCGGGAAACAGGGATGCCATATCACAACATCGGCTCCCGCTGACCAAGTTTCGATCGCGGCTCATCCCGTGAACCAAGCGCGGAAATGCATCACAGGTTAAATAAATAATTAGAAAGATGAGAGAACCCGGATACAAAAGCAGAAGCGGTAGTGAATCCGACAGAACTGCGTCATAATATCCGGCAACCATGGGGGACGGGACTGGATCTAAATAGCAGCAATTTCATTTCTCGTAGTGCACCGCCAACAAAAAGGGCGGTTTTGGTGCGGTAACCTTCAATGGCGAAGCCCAATTCCGCTAGATGCTCTTTAGATGCTAGATGCCCTTTAGATGCTAGATGCTCTTTAGATGCTAGATGCTCTCGGAGTGGAATGCGAGGAGGCGGAATTTTATGTCGGGAAGGCCTTGAAGGAATGGGCGCCACGTGCCTCTTGATTCACCTGACGACGTTGAAAAACGGCTCCGAATAGAAAGGGGCAAGATGCAGCCCAACTCCCTTTTTTTTTTCCAGACAGCTTTCAAAGGAAGCTTCGAAGTTTGGGACTCGCTCTTACGTAACAGCCAGCCGCGACCCCAAGGCGCATGCGCGGCGCCCGGGCCAAAATTCCGGCTGTTATGCAACCGAGCGGAATTGCCCGTTCGGTGCCAGCCGGCATGACAGACGCGAGCCTCGTGGACAGGGTTGCCGGATGATTTGGGCGCAGGCGTGCTGAATCCGCGGCTCCGACCCGCGAGTTCCCCGACTCAAGGGCCTTCTCAATTGTTATTTTTATTTTTCTGCTTTCTGCTATCTGCCTGCGGAAGGTGGGGGGAAGGTGGAGGAGGGGGGGAGGGGCGGGTGGTCCAACCCACTCAGCCCCCTATCTCCCGCAGGCAGCTTCTACGAGTCTCGACACAGGAACGACATTCGACCTAGCATCAAGCGATACGCATATTATTTTCACTTCCTGCCGCCAAATTGGCTTCCAGCTGAGCCGAAGCAACCCGCCGAGCCGAAGCAACCATCTCCACCGACGGAGAGAAATCGAACACGCGCCATACGTCGCGAGCTATTACGCATCGCCTTCCCACTCGCGACGTTCGTCCTTCGTTCCCGGAAATATTATAAATAGCAATCGCAACACAAAAAGTTCCCCCATGACCATGTAAAACGTTACATATGGATTTCCACCTAGCTCAAAGTAAGTCACACCTGCCCCAGCCGGGGACAAAAACGAATCACGTGATCCGCCGCGAAAGCCACGTGATACCCAAGTCCCCCCCCATTGGCGGACCACCGCGATCACGTGACCACGCAAACAGCTGGACTCCCCCCTCCACGCCCCAGTCACCCTCCCCGCGCGTTCCCAGCAACAGAGGAAACTCTCGGTGACGTCACTCTCGGGCTCTTAGAGCCCCGAACAGGGTAATGTCCGGCATAACTGTAGGTGACGTCATCGATGACGTCATTCCTTCCACGATCCACCCCGTCCGAAGAACCCTGACGTCGCAAGAGAGATTCGAACGAGTACGAGCTAGATCAAGTTTAAAACTTCCTTTAAATATCACACTCGCAATAGCAGTTAATCGAAAATTTCTACGAATCAGGGCAAATAAGTAAATTCCATTTTGCTTGCTTTCTTATGCTAAAAATTAAAAGGGTCACATGTCTTAACTGGTGTCATTCAAAAACTCAAGGAATCAGGGAAAAGCGCCATTCAGAATTTCACGAAGGTAAAAAAAAAAACACAAGTCGGATGAACGGAAATTGGTTTCATGTTCTTAATGGCCCAAAAGTACTTCTTGGAGTTCTTACATAAATAGTTACTTTCTGTTGATAAAAAAAACCAGTTTATTCTAAATAAATCGCTGATGAGCGTCTTTCGCTGCAAAAAAAAAAATTATTTTTAGTGATTATTATTATCTATTGCAACAGACGAGTTGAAATCCGAACTCGAAGCAGATTGAGAGTTTCCAGGCGGCACTCTCCCGGCTTGATGGATCGATAAGAAATAATATTAAAATCGTAATCCTTTTAGACGAAAAGACGGTTAAGTGAATTTGATCATTTGAAACTCGTGAAAAATATGCAGGGAAAAAGAAGGCATTTGTGCTTGCACCCGATGAAGCTTCATGCTTCTTTACTTGGCTGCCGCTCCCATAGTGACTCATGGGGAGAAAACAAAGGGCGAGAGGTGGATTTCTAAGTGCTGCTTAACATTCTGCTTAACGCGTTCAAGCGGCGAAATTAGAAGCAGAGCATGGAACTCTCAGGGCCCATGCACACTGCGAAGAGATCCGTCGCAATTTGTCGCAACGGAATCGGACGAGTCGCAGTGGCTCGGGCCGCGTTGTCTATCGACTGGAGTCTCTCCGTCGAGTGCATCGGTCTTTACTCGTTGCCTTCCCATCTTTATTCTTCATCTGCCACTTCCGTGGGTACTATCGGGAATGGCAGATATTGCGATCGGTCTATCACTTTCGTACTTCTCCATTCCGGCTGTCCGTAGTTGCCATGGCGGACCGGAGGATTCGACTCACTGCGCATGTGCAGCTTGGCTGGGTCGGGGTGCGAGCCGATGGCAAAAACTTCCAGTCCCCTTCCAGCCTTCGCGGATGGCGGATCCATCGCAGACAATGGGAGGGAGAGGCAGCGCAGACAGGGTTGCCGGGCGTAAATGCCGCATTTGGCATCCTACACTCCTCCCGTCTCCACGCGAACCAACGAGAAAATTTTTTAGCTGCGCGGGAATAGGCCCACCAATGATATTTATTTTTTGGATGGTTAGGAAGCAGCGAAGAAATTTCATTCCAAAGGAATGGCAGATCTGTACCTGGGCCGGTGCCCTATTGCTGAAATTGCGAGTTCCGAGAGGCTAAATGATAGGAAAGGGAGAGATAAGACCATGCTTTCACTTCGAGTTCACCGTGAGACATATCGCAAGAGCAAAAAAAAAAAATTTAAGAGTTTTTTGACCTCCTTGTCCGCGATCTGTCGCATCTGTCACCAAGAATTGAAGGAGTGCCAAAGCCAACGTTGCCAGGGAAAAAAAGCAGGAAGCTTTCGAACCATCCGTCTTCATACAAGCACGCGTTGTCGTTCATGCCATGCAATAACTCAAACGGACGAAAGTTCGCTAATTGCTCATCAGGACGCCCCATACCTTACCAAGGAATCCCCACCCAGCCACTCTCTCGAATATTGAATGGTTAATCTGGTGGCTGGTAAATTATACTGATACGCTTCAAGATTTCAATTTCCTCCCCCTGATTCCAAGCGAACGGAGCTTCTCGCCGGTTCTTTCTTATTTCTGAGCCATTCGTTTCCGGGAGCAAGAATGAACGGTCAATCCTCAATGAAAGACCTAAAAGCACTCGAGCCAGCTTAGACCAACCTTTTGTCGCCCAAAAGTATCTCCTCAAGGCCAATTCGGCCCATGATGGGGCCCATCGTGAGTTCCTTGCACCACTTCGACTCGGACGTCGGCTGACAGACTGCCTCCGAAATTCAAAATGAACGTCGGACGCCGCCATCAGTGACGTCCACGCAGTGATGCCCATGCAGGGATGTCCGATCGATCGGTCAAGGTTAGCCAAGGTTTCAATCTTACCTCATCCCGTGGACTCAGAAGCTATCTATCCTACATAAAAAAAAACAGAAGACCCAGACATAGATACGTAAGCAGAAGCAGTGGTGAATCCCACATAACACCAGCATGATATCCGGCAACCGCGAGAGACGTCCACTGGAGCCTGCACGATAAGTCGAACAACTAATTTCACTTTTCGCAGCGAAATGGTACATTTAAGTAAAGGGCAACTATCTCGCTCTACAAGCTTATGTGGCAAGGGAGGAAAAAAATGGAAATTCACACCTACTAAAACCGAAGGGGATGGAATTTCAAATTTGCTTTTATATGCTGCGAGGCAAGCCTAATTTTTTTTTTCCTCCAGATTCTCTCAGAGAGGATGGAGCGTTTATTTCAGCAATAGATCGAGAAGAATCCCTCTGCAAACCCAATGAAGAGAACGATCGCTGAAAGAAATTTATTTCACTGAATGACATCAAGAGCGACAACATTCCCTGAAAAAAAGCACCGAAAATTTTTCAATTGATTAACAAATTTGGCGAAATTCTGCTGAGTGCAGAGCAGGAACAGAACAAAATTGGCACAAAATTCACTATCAAGGCACACAATATGCAAAAATTTGGGAATCCAGCAAAAGCGCTTCTTGGCCTTTCGCAACCCTCAAGGCGAAAGCTTCCTGCAATTAGAGTCGTCTCCGCAGGACAATATTGCCGGCACAGAATCGGACTGTTCGAAACGGAACGGCCTCACACGTAAGCTGAATCTCAGCTAATTCAAGCGGCCAGTCAAAAGTTCAGTCGCATGAGTACCTAACAAAAGAAGACCCAAAGACCTTTACATCCAAAGATGTGAAGGTCATGCTTCGCATGCATCAGACTGATGCTGATGCATCAGGCTGATTCATCCTATTCATCCTTGAAGCTACACTGGATTTATGACAAGACGCTTCGAACTTGGGCACCAAATTCCATCAACATCGCTCGAGTCTTTCGAGCTGTTTTTTTTTTGGCGACGAGTGTATTTCGGTTGAACTGGAACTGATACTTTTCCTGGAGAAAAAAAGATTCAAATATTATATATAGCTGCAAATGTTTCCGCAGAATGTAAGAAAGCTGCAGATAGAAAAAAAAAAGGAAGTGCGATGGCACAAAAACGAATACTGACATGAATTACTACAGTAGAATGGCATTATGGGAAGCATGGGAAAATCTGGGACTCAATCTAGAAGTCACGCGACGCTGGACTCCTCGGGCATGGGACGCTTGGAGATGTGCCGCTCCACCCACTTCAGGAGCGTCAACACAGAGTCTGTGCTTGACAGGCGCTTCGTCGCAGCGGTGCGGACCAGGCGGTGCGAGGTGATGCGGAAGGTGCATGCCATCCCTTGGAGGGCGCGCATGGCATCTTCATCCGTGACGTCGTCCCCGACGTAGATGACGCGGACCCGCTCCAGCCAGTCCACGCCGAACATGGTTCGAAGGATGTAGATGGATGCTCGACCCTTGGAAAGGGAAAACAAAGGGATCGTTGGGCACAGTGCCTCGGGCGATTAAAGGAGATAAGAAAACAGGCATCGTGCCAAGACAAGGCAAAGCACTTTCGCTTATTGCACGTGTAACGTGCACTGATTGGCTGACTCATGATTTCAGGTTTGAATAGGCTAAAAACGACGAAAACATCTGAATTTTCTAACGACTGTCCTTTGTTCTGCATAAAAAAAAATTGAATGAACATTTTGGCTTTTCCAAAAACCCTTACAAGTCACAAAATTCTCTTTCCCACCACGCGCACCATTCTAAATTCTGGTGACTAGCTGAAGCAAAATAAGGCAAGGCACAGTCCTACGCGGTCCTCTTTTTTACCAATCAACACCAAAATTCAAAACTCTCAAAATGACAAATGGTGACGAAAGAAGTTTTGGGGCTCTTTTCCAATGAAAAAATAATCACACTCGACATTCGCAAAAAAATATCCCAACGAAATTACAGTACTTAAACACATAATTATCAATCTTTGCTCTTGTCGTTCTCAACATATTGAAGTCCGAAATAGGTCAGTTATTTTTCAGCCACACCTCAGATCAATAACTGCTAGTACATCCGAATGAAGCCCGATGATGAATGGATCTCTGGTATCTACATGATGCCAGAGATTAATATTAAAAAATCCGGATTTATCATGCCCACAGGGCAGTTTCCTTTCACGTCTTACTTATCATCAACAACCAGCCGAATGAATGTTCCACCTGCCCCCCTCAAAATGTTTTATTGATTCCTTTAACCGATGTCGAAACAGGTTATCCTACATGGCAAGGATTAGTGGAAAGCAGCAAAAAGTCTTACTTTATCCCATTGGACAGGTGGCCTGGCTTCGATGGCGCAGTGAGCCGGATGGGCCTTGAAGCCGTTCTTGGAGATGATAGCGTTCGCCCTCTGCTTGAATGCACTTCTGAGCTGGATCGGGACAGCGCGGAAGTGATAAGTAATGATTGGACCCTTGTGCTCGATCCAGGCACCGTCCTTGCAGCACTCGTCCTGCAGCTCTCGACACATTGTTTTCATCTTCTCGTGATACTCCTCGGGGACCGGGTGGACGAACTTGCTCCCGTCTGGGTGGAGGATCTCCAGGCCGTGATTCCCGGCGTAGGTGATTCCATCGATCCCGACCATCTTCCGCACGTCTTCCAGGCTTCGCCCGGATACGATGGCGATGGCAACGTCGCTGCTGTTGCTCAGCCGGACGAGGACGTTCTTCGTCTCTGCCGGCATGAAGGCGATCTCCGGCTTGGGAGCGATGGGGGCCAGCGTTCCGTCGTAGTCCAAGAGGAGGGCTATCTTGGCCGTGTCTCCGATGTATTTGCTGAGGAATTCATCGAAGTCCTCCGTTGTCATGGGGCCCAGGGTCTTCGTTGTCATCGACTCCTTCCGCCCTTCCGCGGGGTCAAGGCTCCCCATCGCCTGAAAGGATGGGGCACCTGTCAATTCATGAATTGCTGATGGGAAAAGCATAATTCCCATCCCTAATGTGTTCGTCAACATGGCTCCAGATATTGAGCGTAGCGGAAAACAAACTCCAGAGCGTACTGATCACCAGCCAGGCAGCAGGGAAAAATCTCAAATCTATATCCCTACATCCGACAACGGAATTTTTCGTCACGCAATCCCTAAATCTTAATTCCCAACTTAAATCGAACGCCAAGGCAGTCGTGGATGTCTTCGTCCTTCGTGTTCTTCCAGGGAATCGCACTGAAACTTTGAACTTTCAATACCCATGAAAATGTAGAGACAACAACTATCGCTGCTTTTCATCTATCAACGTTCGTCAACAACTAACGGGGAAGAAACCGGGAATTTCCCTCCCTGAATTCGTTTTTAACCCATATAACAATTGGGAAGTGCTTGCATCTTCCATGGTGGAATTAGAAAATTTACCTGAAACGTTATTTGAATAGATAATTGAAAATAATTTTTTTTAGGGTGGAGTATCGTATGCAGATGAAAGATTGGGGGGGGGGGGGGATTCCTATTCATGGTGTTGTTATCCGCATTCACGTATATCTTGTTTTATTACTTGAGCTGAAGATGAAAATGAAGAAGCGAAAGTGGGAACCACACCATCTTTTGAACCACACGCTCTAAGACCACAGTCGCACAGCGTGTCGTTAATTCTGTACAATTTCACGTCCACCTTGAAATTATTCTCAGCCGTCAAATCCGGCTGTCCTCGACAGGCAATCATCGCCATACTGTGATGGCAATCATCGGTAAATTTAAAAGGATTTGATGCTTTCCTTGATAATAAAAAAAAATTCGTAACAACTCGTTGTTCCACCTTTGCTATCTCGATTACCATCATCTTGATTTTCATCTCACGTAATGAAGCAGGAAACACGAGATTGTGAGTATGTGTTATCAACACTATAAAGACAAATTCCTCGAATAATTTCTTTTTACACTACTCTGCCATTCATACTAATTTAAAAAATCTAGGTCAAACTTGAAACAACCTCCTATGATGTACTTCAGCTTATAGAATGCAATTCTCCAATTTTGTTGCTGAAGTCGAAAGTCGACCTACTAGCAATTTGGCAAAGCACGTCCTCACTCCTTTCCATCGCAGGGCCCACTAGACGTCTCCAGGGTTTTCGGGCTCTTCTCATTCCTTTGTGCTCTCGCTTGGGCGTTGCCTGATCCGGACTTCCTCATTAGAACAGATGTTTCCAAGGCCAGATTAATTTAGGCGTTCATTCTCATTCATAAGAGGATTGGTAGTCACTGTACGCAGACAATGATGAAAGGAAAAAATAGAGGGAGCTGAAATCCAGATGTGTCATGAAGCGCTGTGCATTTCCAGGCCGTGGATTGTCAGTTCTGTGCACCATTGATGTATTTTGGCTCATGAGCCGGGGGGGGAGGGGGGGGGGGGGGCAGGGGGAGGGGCAAGTGAGACAAGTCCTTTAAGGCGCTCTAGGCACTTTCAAGGGCTGCCAGGCTGCTTGGGGGGGGGAAGCCCCGCCCCCTCCTGTACGAGAATCCATAAGTGTGCATTACACCATCATCTGCCTTGTTTTTGAGTGCTTCGGTTTCTATGACATATGAGCCTGCGCCGTCATGCATGAACCCGGCCTCAAACAGGCTTTCAACACATGCGATGTGCAGTCACAACTGCAGCAATGCCAAATACTGGTACATGAATGTATAGAGTGACAAATTACATCGTGAACGATCTTGATTGTTAATTGAAACACAATAAAGGATGACTCTCCTTTGGTATTTTGAAGATTAATTGGATACCATGACTCCTTTGTTCTAAGGAAGGAACTTCGCGGCGGAAACGAACGACGTAATGCACAACGTCGAAGCACGCGGAATTCCAGCCTTCGGGGAGTCGACAGAATAACTACACTTTTGCTAAAAACAACTTGCGATTATTTGTATAACTGTTCTTTAAAAAAAAACTGCTATAAGAAAACGACAAAACTTCTTCACTGTCCTCAATATGCAAATCAGCAAAATTGCATAACTTGAAGTAAATGCATATTAACATTCAAAACCGTTCACGGTATTGTCACCCTATCGATATAACCACAGATTTACAAGATAATAAGCCTTAATATCTGTCCTAATTGAATGACATAATAGACTTACCAGTAGGCCATTTACAAAGTGGCGCTACGAATTTCTTTCAGATCCGATTATAACAGAATGTACAGACACAGTAGAAACTTTCCCAGTTAAAGATGTAGGGATAGAATTATGCTATGCATAGAACCGGTAGTGACATCTACTTTCAATTCAATAATCTATCACGGCATAATGCATAAAACCCTTTCTTCAATTACGACTAACCCTGGCTTCGGTCAGAAAAAAAATGTTGGGAAGGGAGCGTACCTTGAGGAAAGAGCTGAGCCAGAAATCCAGATTCATGGTCTGCTCCCGCTTCTTCAGGTGACACATGCGCATCTCCCGCTCATCAATGGGCATGGTGAGGGCCCGATGGAGGGTGTCCGCCACGTCGTCCAGTTCGTAGGGATTCACGAGCAGGGCTTCGTGCATCGTCTCCCCGGCTCCCGCGAAGGGAGACAGGATCAGCACGCCTGGCTTATCCACCTGACAGGCCACGTATTCCTTCGCCACCAGGTTCATTCCGTCTCGAAGAGGGGTCACCAGTGCCACAGAGGAATCCCTGTCAGAGCACACAAATGAAGGATCGAGGTTGCAATGCGGTGAAGCCTCTCCCCACCCCCAATTTTCCCTCGAAATTCATGAAATGCTGACTCCCCCTGGTATGATCCCAGGCTTCCTTCCACCGAGACTGATATTCTTATCTCAATAACATCACGAGCAGGGCCTCGTGCATCGTCTCCCCGGCTCCCGCGAAGGGAGACAGGATCAGCACGCCTGGCTTATCCACCTGACAGGCCACGTATTCCTTCGCCACCAGGTTCATTCCATCTCGAAGAGGAGTCACCAGTGCCACAGACGAATCCCTACCAAAGAGCAGACACTGAAGGATCGAGGCTGCAAAGGGCTGTCTCAGTTCCTCTATTGCAATTGTCATCTTTCCGAAAACAAATGTATCTTTTCATTAACCTCTGCATTCCACTTTCGGCAGGAAGGAAATGTGGAGAAGTAAAAAACAAACAAAAAAAAACAAGAAATTTATTTTGGGGCACCAATGAGATGCGAACAAAAACGTTGACATACTGCTTCTTTCCTTAACTATCTATCAATATAGGACCTCACAGTAGACACTATTTAAGGTCAGTATTTCTCTGTGGTCTGGTGCGACAGTGGGAAAAGCCTATCCGATCCCCGACTAAGTCTGGAATCTAATGTCCTGAAAGCAGCCCCTCTATCAAAGCGACCCCAACTCCAATGGCAAGAAACGATCAGACGGTCGCCGACACCACCCATGGAATAAGATGATCATGCTTCTGACCTGTAGTAGGCGGCAAGATCATCCTGGGAAATGCATCCATAGATGTACTGGATGGGGGACCAATTGAGCGTGGAGAAGCGTCCGTTAATGCGTCCGATGTCTAGGTCCATCTGCTCCTTCAGCTGCTGGTACTCCTTCACGTCCGTCCGGGAAGGGACGGCCACCTGCAGCAGCGTCACCTTCCCCAGGTGCTCGGGATGCTTCTCCAGCAGCCTCTCTAAGGATCGGATCCTGCCCAGCAACGAATCATGATCAGAGACTGGAACGATGGCGAGGAACGATCCGGAAATTGCCTTAATCGATCGTTCTCATTCGTGCTTTTTCTTCAGCCCATGGAAATTTTATTACAGTACTCTTAGTACCCAGGGCACAACTGCAAATTCCTCTTCCAGAGACACGTTTTATGAGAGCAAGAAATAATGGTCAGATCTTTTCTTCTCATTCGTGTTTTAACCTGATTAGTAATAACGTAAAGGCGGCTACAGAGGGCATGATAGGAATACAGAAATTCAATCAACGCTTGAAGTTTTCGTACGTCTTGGCCAGACCCAAGGTTTGAAAAAATATAAATGAATATTTTTACACTCTCATATAGTCATTAATTTCATTTCCCTTTCATTTAAGCTAGCCATATTTTATTTAAGAATATTGGATAATCTCCCGGAATAGAGGAAACTCTAAACCAAGCTTGCTGAGGCAGGCCTGATACGACACGATCATTTATGGACATGTCCGGTCTGATTATCGACTTCACGGTTGATCGTGAATCTGTTTTACCACGGCATACTTTGAATCAGCTACGTTATAAATTTTTTTAAAGCAACCCGATGTAAAGCAATTAGGAATTTTATGGATAAAGTATAGAAGCAATTGAAAGTGTGGTATAATTGGGACTCGCACTAAAAACGTGAAGTTTGAAAACGATAGAAATCGGGCGTCGAATAGGTTAATTTCGAGCTATCGACGACTCGTCGACAAGAGAAAAAGAAGTGACAATCACCTGTTTATGAGTCCCTTGGTATAGTCGAGTCTGTCGACTCCGAGGATGATCTGCTGGGAGGACTGCAGCGCCCTGGGCGCCGCGTTGGCCATATCCTCGAACCGCTTGTACGGGATCCCGATCGGCAGAGCCCGGACCTTCACCGTCCTCCCTGCCACGTCAACCAGGTTGTGGACCCGGTCCACTCGGAAACCCAGTCGCCGCTGGCAGCAGTCCAGGAAGTTCCGACAGTAGTCCTCGATGTGGAATCCCACCATGTCGCATCCTGGACGGAAGGCAATCCTATTAATACAGGATCGATTACGTCACATGAACTGTTGGGTATGAAGCGTGGCGCGAAAGATTGCTTCCGGTTTATAGGGAAGCATTCGTGAAAGGGAATACTAATAGGCTCAGTCAGAAATAGAGTGGAACGGGCACAATCGCATCCGATTGCAAAGGACGAAGAACTGCACTCCCTGGTCACATGGACTCCCTTCTTCCTTTCTCCAGTATCGAATATTTATGAGGCAAGAGCTTCAAAAAGCTCCTCTTTTTATTCCCCTTCGTCACGCGAGCTCATTCTGCGTCGAAGCATTCGACCCAACCCAGTGAGGCGTAATGACAATTTGTGTCGTGCTATAGATACGCATATATCCGCAAGAAATCCTGCATTTGCTGAAGCCACCCGAACTTCGTCGCAATTCTTTCGTTACCTTTTGCGTAGGACTGCCACCCTTTCTTTCCTTCCGCGATCCCACATAATTGCAATGTGACAGCCCCGTACAATGCGCGACAGGCATTCCAAAGAAGGTGAAAAAAGAGAAAACAGGAAAATTGAGTGAATTATCCTCACCGAGGATTCCTTGAAGGACCTCGTCGTCCCAGGGGAAGAGACGGAAGATGTCCCACGGTGGGAAGGGAATGTGGAGGAAGAATCCCAACTTGCATTTCAGATTCTCTTCTTCGCATTGCTAGAGCGTGAAAGAAGCATGAGGTCTACATTTTCTTGCACATCGGTTCAAGAATGGAATATTCCTAAATAAACTTTAACAAAAAATTTAGGGATGCTGGTGTTGCTCTACAATAGGAAGTTTCTTTTGAAAACTTTTAGTTATAAGTAAAAAGTAATTAGTTAAAAGTAAAGGTAAATAAATGACCGGAAGCTGCATTCAAGGCCCCAGAGTCGCCAGTGCTAATAAAGACAAACGTGTTCATTCTCAAACGTTCGGTCTTTACTTTACTCAGAAAATAAAGATTTTATGACGTCCTTAACTTTTTTATTATTAGAGTTTAATTCTGATTGGCTTTCACCGAAGAGATTAAAAAAAAATGATTTGACCTCGATTGGTTTTCTCAACGTCGACTTCAAAGAAACAGCAATGATTCTGTTGTACCTCTAATTTTTATTTTCACTCGCCGATTTTTTATTATTAACCCATGAAGGTCCCAAATACGCTCCGGCTAAAAATAAAAAAGCAAAATAATTACAGAATTAATAATAAAAGAAATGATTTTTTATAATCGTGGACTGGGCGGACTCACAGACAATGAAAATTACCGCGAGCGCTGAACACAGTAGAGGAAGGGGAGTCATCCCTAACAGCACTTGTCGTCAGGGATGTCCGATTTGGACAGGGATGTCGTCAGGAAGCGAATAATACCGAAAGCAACCGATGTCGGCCCAGAATACAACCTGGGGACCGGTCGGATTTGAACCTGGAACTCTCGCGTGCTAACCCAAAACATTATCGTGAGGCAAGGCGACACCGTGAGATTATGTTGGAAATTTTAAATAAATATCAGCAGGTTACTATAAATAAATCGAAACTACGGTTTAATGTATATCAAATTACGCTAGCACAAAAAAAGGAAAGGAAACTAAAAAAAAAAAGAAGACAAAAGGGAGAAAATAAAAATTCCACCTGACCTGCCGGATGTGATTAGCAGCGAGCATGAGGTGATAATCGTGGATCCAGACCAAGGGGATGCGCTCCTCGCCCTCCTTCTCCTTCGCCTTCAGCCTCTTCAGGGCCTCCACCGCTCGGCTGGCGAACAGTGCGTTCGCCGTCGAGTATGACTGGAAGAGGCGTTTGGACACTGCCAACTACTGTATTTTGTATTACGGGGAGGCTGATTTCGAGGCGCGAAGCTTCGAAGAGGATTTGCTGAGGGCTAATGGAAATTACTGGAGAAAATTTCCAGAATCCAGACAAAACTTTTTCAAATGGAAAAGGAAAAAACGGAATATTTTGCGAGACTAGCTTTTCGAATTCCCACCACATTATTTGCATTTTTATTCGGTCCTTGAATTGTTATTTTCCCGACTGAATCCCGGGGAAGCTTTTTAAAGGTCTGAGCTACAGACAGAGACAAAGGAGTTCGACGGCCTCGACGGGAATCATGCGGAAACAGCGTGCTCTGCATAAACAAGGAGGATTTCGGAGAGTTGCCAAAAAAAAAAAACGCATGAGAAGCGCGAGATTTGGCGGCGCTCCGAAGACGTCACGTGTAAGCAGCGTGCACAGTGTAAGGTCGGTCGTGAATTT